CTGCTGCATCTCTCCAGCCTCTCCAGTGGGCTGAAGCCCTGGGAGCTGCTGGGGCTTGATCTGCACCCTGGTTGCAGTGCTGGTTTACCTGGTGGGGTCTAGAAACGCTGGAAATAGTAAATTCTGGAAAATGGAGCTGAAATGATGAGGCAGCAATCCTCGGGCTGCAGGGAACACTGACAAGACTGTCTCAAAAGCAAAGCCTTCATGTAACTGGCGAAACAAAAGCCTTTGTCTGCCTGTTTAAGGGCAAACTTCCCCCAGTGTCAGGTTTTTCTGTTCTAACCCAGATGTAGTCACATCTTGGGCATGACCCAGCACATGCTCAATTGGGTATTAAACAAACCTGATTTTTGGTCCCAAGCTACTGAAAGAAGTGACCAAGGGTAGTGCATTAGTTAATAGCAGTAGGAGAGTAACTAGAGAACATGTCACTGATGATGGCGTGAGATTCCCTTAAAGTGATCCCCAGATTAGGGATTAGAGTACTTAATGTTTTTCTTCTATAAAGATGTTGGAATTGAGTCCGTCTATGGGTGTTTGAGGCAGCTGCACTTGGACGAGTCTGCAGGGACTCCAAGTACAAACCATTCCTTAATTGTTTGCAAATTCCCTCTGATCTTGCTGGATGGCTTGGCTTGCTTGGGATGTATCTTTGCTTACGTACCAGGCAAAGCTACGTGGCATGTCACTGTGCTTCTGATTCCTCTCTGAGAGGTTGAGCCTGGTTTCAGCAAGGCTCTAGGAAAACATCAGTGAGAAGACTCGGCTTCAGTGCTAATGAGGCTGCTGATGGACACGTTGTTTGGACAGTTGTGGTGCTCAGGAGCATAAAGTTTATTAATAGTAGGTGGAGAAGCTGTTGCTGTGCCGTGTGCTAACAGACATGCTCGACAATTGCTGTGGGAGATCTCTGCTTGTAAAAGACTAATGCTTAGTATTCAGCAGTGAATGAAAACTTGGGGAAGATTAACAGCCTTTGATTTACACCCAGCTGGGGCAGGCGTTGGAGCTTTGCCTGTTTATGCTGTTGGGCTTTGTTACGTGGGATGAATATTTCATTACCTTGAAGGTGGGAGCTTGGCTTCTTGCATTTGGTGGTGTCAAGAGATCGTGCCCGAGGGGTTCTGTCACCTGTGATGAACTAAGATCAAATCTGTGGCGTGGTAGTCCCTTGGGCTTCAAAAGAGGGCTGGGAGGAGATGGCTGGAGCCAGGCAAGGGTAGTTAAACCCACAGTTGGATCTAGGATGGTAAAGTGACCCTCCTTGTAATTTAAAATTGGCTGCAGTGCTCCAAAAAGTTGCCAGAGCAAAAACTTGACTATCTTCTGTTCTGCAAGTTCATTTAAGAAATTAAATAAAATTGTCTTTGGTAGATCAAGCCTGAAATCCCTGAAGCAGTGGGAGGGTAAGGCACATCTGGAGGGATAATCACCTTACTCATGGAGGCAGAAATCAAACCTGTCATGGAGCTGGCATGCTGGAGTCCACCTGGGTGTTCTGGGAATTCTCTTGCTTAATCTGGCAAAACACATTTGAGATACCAAGGAACTGCTGGATCTGCAGACCAAGAGACCTAGAGCAAAAATCTTGTGAGGGTTTTTTATTAATATTTCCAGAACCCTACCCTGATGTGCAACAAGCAGAAGTTCACAAAGTGTTTGGAGCAGTGACAGAGTGGTTAAAAATGGATGTGGTCACTGCAGGGAGTTTTGCATGGCTGCAGCTTCTCCCATTTCACCCTTTGGAGCAGCAGCTTGCAGCTGCCATGGCAGAAGTGGCTCTGCCATGCCAGCAGCCAGGAATTGCCAGGTTCATCCTGCTCCAGCAGACCTTGGGAGCAGACTTTCCCAGCAGCCAGAACTTGCTCTCAACCTTTCTGAGCGTGTCCTGTCCATGACCCCTCATCCCTCCTTTCTCTACTTGGCTCAACTGAGTAGAGGTCATGGGCACAGCATAACACTGTCATTTTTTTGAGCCCCTGATTAAGGACCAGCCCTGGCACTTGACTCTGCAGGGAGGATTTGATGATCTGGTGGCAGGATTCTTCCTGCCTGGCAGTGGGGCTGGAGGTGAGCAGGAGAGCCCTAAGATCTGAGCCAGATTAGTACTCAGAAGCTGTGAGGTAAATCTTTAAGCAGCTCATGCTCCCAACAGCAGTAAACACCTTTCCCACATGAAACTTGGTGCATTTATCTAGAGTGTCCCTGCTTATGTGCTGGAGTCCCTGGAGTTCTGTCTAGCTTGGGTTGTTTTGCCATAAATTGGAGGGGATAAAAAAAAGTCTCTGTGTTGACCAAGTCTTAAGGCTTTAGAAATGACCAGTGGCCATCCCATGGATGGCTGCTTCAGCTCAAAAGCCTGTGAGTAGATGGACTCTTCTGAGGAATAATGCTCCAATGGAAATTAAAAAAAAAAAAAATTAAGTCTTTAAACTTGTACAGAAATGCTGCTGAGGAAGGAGCTGCAGTAACTCTTGAAGAGCCCTTCAGCTCACACCTGGAGAAGCTTGATGCAGCCCAGAAGAGCCTAGAGCAACCATGAATTGCCGTTCTCCTTCGAAAGGGGTCACTGGATCAACTCTGAGCTCCTAAAACTTGGGTGTGCTTCAAGGGCACATCCAAGCTCTCAAGCCAGTGGTATGCAAAGCCCTGGTCTTCCATGTGCTTTGCAGGAAGCTTGGAGAAAAGGCCTATCAGCAGGGAACAGAGCAGCTAATCCAAGGCAGGAGAACTCCCCATGTTGCTGGATGATGGAGAAGGGTGATGGTGATCTTGGGCTGCTGCTGAGGGCAGATGATGCTTGCCAGCCTGCCATATCCCAGGGAAGGAATAGCTTGGCATCCCTTCTGTTGCTTTTGTAGTTAGCAGGCAAAGGTGCTGGTATCCCATCTGCTGGAGACTGTGTGATGAGCCCTTGAGTGACAGTCCTCTGAAGTGCTGGGACTGATGTGGTTGGACTTGCTGCTCTCTCCATCTGGTGGCTGGAAGGCACTAGGCCAGCAGAGGTCGATTATTTTTCCTGAGAGTTTTTAATAAGTACAAGGCAGGTAGTGGCAGCAAGATGGTGAAACAAGTTGTCCTACAGCCAGTTTTCGTCTTGTTTAATAGCCTGTCACTATGGCGAACAAGAATCTGGGTGTTAATAAGGAAGACAAGAAAACTTGGGCATAATTCCTTCCTGGCTCAAAAAGCACACACTGGCTAGAGGAGCAGCTCCTGTGCAGTGCTAACTCAGAAATGGTTTGTAGCTCCACACTTTACATGACCCTGGGAGGCCAGGATTGTTCCTTCCAGTTGGTTATTGGGATGTGTCTGGGCTGGTCTTTGTCAACAATAGCCATGGCAGATTGCAGGGTCTAGGAATGTGCCTGGAAGGCAGGCGGATGCTCCCTCCGTGGTTGCCTTATCTCAGAAGCTGCAGATGAAGTCGGTGAGGCAAATCAGTGGCACCCAGGTGTTCTGCAGCAGGGGAAACCAGAGCCGTTAGACCGAATGCTGGGACTGCAGCGCTGCAGATAAGGGCTGGTACAGAAACGCTGCTGCCAAACAGAATGGAGCAGCTCAGAGCTCTGCTGCTCTCACTGGTTTTCTCACCTTGACTCCCTTTGACCTTTTATGTGCAGAAATAACCCAAGTAGTTGAAACTTGCTTTTTTTTCTCTAGCTGAAATCCATCATGGCCACACTGAAACTGGAGTAGGAGGAGTGCAGGCCCCAAGGACTGATCAAGCCTGAGTGCAGTGTGATGACATTCACCTTGGCTTAAGTAGCTGTTAAGCTACAGAGGCCAATGAAATAAATGAGCTCTTGGTTTTCATGTCTCCCAGTTTGAAGACTTTGCCTTGGGTGGTTCAAAGTCGCCTTAAGTAATAAAGGCTGCAGAGTGGGATGAAAGCCTCTGTTAACTGTAGGAATATGCAGAAATCCTAATCAGTGTCTGGGGTGCCTGAGTAGCCTTTGAGATCCAGTTGGGCTACAAGCACCAAACAGTCTCTGCAGACGCTGGTCCTTGAGGCACTGGGAGCAATTTGAAATGTGGCAGAACCATCCCATTGCTGTCAGCCACTGTCCTGTGATGGGAGCTGGCCCAGCCAGCTTGAAAAACGAGAAGTAACAGGTGATTATTCATAGTGAAACAGGCAATGGAGAAGGCAGTGGGGAACTTGTGTCTGCCCACAGCCTGCGTGTGCTTGTCTGGGATGCGAGGAAGGGTTCAACCTACAGCCCAAAATCCCCCGTGTCATGCTGAGATAAAACACGAGCAGAGAGGACAGTGGAAGGGGCCAGCAAGGAGAGAAGCAGTTACGGTGTGACTTCCACTTTGGAAGTACGACACGGGGGCGAAGGCTGGGCAGCAGGGGAAAAGAACCCAAACCAATCTGGCAAGATTTTAGATTTAGGTCTAGTTTAACACACGCCTACTTTGCCAAAGTAGGACAGTGCTTAAGAAAAGCATCTTTCCGAGTGCTGCGATGGTGTCGCAGGACAGCTCGCTCTGGAGCACGGGGAGAGGCTGTTCTTGACAAGGTTGTGCAACATCCAGTCATGACTGTCATCAAGGCACAGGGTAATGGTGTCATTTTGATGTGCTTGAGGGCAGCCATTTCTTCAGAAGTTAGAGGGAGCTGGAGACAGAAAAACCAGGTGGCATCTCTGGCACATCCTTCCAGAATGACAGCACTTAGGCTGCTGGAAGTGGGCTTGTCAGAGAATCATTAGGGTTAAATAAGACCTCCAGGATCACCAAGTCCAACCTTTAAGCAATCCTCACCTTGTTAACTAGGCCAGAGCACTGAGTGCCACACCCAGTTGTTTCTTGAACACCTCCAGGGATGGTGATTCCACCACCTCCCTGGGCAGCCCATTCCAATGCCTGGCAGCCCTTCCAGTGAAAAAATTCTTCCCGTGTCCAACCTAAGCCTCCCCCAGCACAGCCTGAGGCTATGTCCTGTTGCCCTTGCAGACGGGTGTTGGGGTCCCATTATGAGACAGCAGCTAGAGATGGGGGGGTAGATGGTGTGGCTGCAGGTCATGAGTATTTATGTGCTGTTTGAGCCTGAAGGGGTTGCCTGCTGGTGGTTCCGATTGCCAGTGGCTTTAGATAAAGTAAGAGTTTTGGTGGTAGGACTAGACCAGAACATTGTTTCAAAAGCACATTTGCGTTCTAAAAAACAAAACACAAAGGGGACCTTCAGGCCCCGCTTCAGAGTGACTAATGAGCTGCACATGAAGGAAAACAAGGTACTTGCTGGGGTTTGTGTGGAGAGATAACAGATTTAATTACATGGTGCAGGAGCTGTAGTAGAAGAGAGGAAACACGAGTGCTGAGGAGGAGATGGATGTTGTGTATCCTGGTAGGAGAGGAGCTCTGGTGATGTTTAAAAGCTGTTCTCAGTGAACAGTTTGAGGTTCTCATGATAGTCTGTCTCTCTTCAGGAAAACTTGGCTCCTTTGTAGGTGTGTGATGTCTTCAGGGACTGGGGATCAGAAAAGCGAGTGTTGATGATTATAACATGGGTTGAACTGTCAGATGTTCATGGTATTCTCCAGGGAAGCATCTCTGGGTCCCCTCAGCTTGCTGTGCTGTTTGCTTTAAGATAAGACATCAAAGCTAGGCAGGAGCCATAAATGGGTGGGCACTTAATTATCAAACTAAGTGAAAAGTGTGTAAGGATAAACAGGTAGAACTCAGTCCTGCCATGGATCTCCATGGCAGCCGCTGAAGGGTCCTCAAAAATGATCATTTCATGTTGTACTCACACCTACTGATGCATGGTGAGGAGTGGAGGATGGGAGTCCTGGAATAAGCCCTGTAAGCAAACTAACCTGCTGCTGTCTGGGAGCAAGCCTTCCCTGTGGGTCTCACAAAGGCCTGCTAATTAAGATGTTTCTGGAAAGAAGGTGCAGTAGGACCAACCCTTGGGCTTTTGGAGTTCACGTACCTTGACATTAGGGGCAGGTAAAGCTGTGCTTGCTCCCTGGCTTCTCTGCATGAGGCTGAGCTTTCCCTGGCTGCAATATGATCCTTGGGCATGCCGGGAGCCTGCCAGGTTTTGGGCAGAGCGCTGAGTCAGAGCTCCAGCTGGAGTGGAGAAGTCAGGAAAGCCTTTCCTAAGACAGTGCCGCCTCTGCAGTGCTTTGTTGCAAATCAGAGGGCTCGGATTTGTACAAACCTCTGGACTCCCAAGCAGCAGAAATGTTAAACTTCCAGTAGTTTTTGTCCAACAGGAACTGTTGGAGTTTCCATGTGGCTTTAGGGCACTTGAGTCTTGGTGGTGCAGACGCTGTGCCATCAAAGGCTGCGGGAACTGGTGAGACTGGAACTGGCAGTGTCCTCAAGCTCGGTGGTGGAACGTGCCTCCCAGCCAAAGCAGGCAGTGTGGACTGCTCCATGCCAAGCTCCCTGCACTCCCTGGCCAGGTGTCTTTGTGCAGTGTGTGAAAGGTCAGGCTCCTGGCACTTGTGTTTTCCTTTTTTTTTTTTTTTTCTCTTCCAAGATAGCTAAGAGACTTTCCCCTATCAAGTTTCCAGCATGTGGATTAGCTCTTTGTGCTTGGCCGTTTATGCCATATCCAGGCCTTGACTCCATTTCAGCCACATGCATCTCTTACCCTCTCTGCCCAGTCTCCAGGGGCACAAGGGTGAGATGAGGCTGGACAGTTACTGAGATTTGTGAAGCGAGTTCTGTTGTTCAGGGAAGTAAAACTCCAAACTGACTGAGCTTCCCAGAGAGCAGGTAGACCTCCAGCCAGAGGCTCATGGCTTTGTGTTCCTGCCAAGCCCTCCTATGCCAAAGTGAGATCTTCCTTTGGCTATTTGAAGTCTCTGACTCCATGTAACAGTGCTGGGAATGGCATCAGGAGACCTGATCAGAGTACTGCCCTTCTTAAGGGAAGTGAGACCTCTCCAGGGTCTGAGTTAAGAAGGGGGAGGGTTCTGCTCTCCAAAAGGGCTTGTAACATGACTGCTGCAGTGTGATCCAGGCCTGATGCAGGCCTGATGTTGCCTTATTGATGTTACCTCAGAGGTGTTTCAGTGAAATGCTATAAATTCAGTACATCGAGCCTGCTGTTTAGCCTGTGGCTTGTCTGAACTCATTTTGTGTTGGTATCCTGCTGTGGAAGAAAAAAATCAGCTCTGAAGAGGTGGCAGCAGCTCTGGTCAGACAGAGGGCAGAGATGTCCTCAAAGGCAGCTGAACCTGGGATACATCTTTTCCACCTTCCACTGACTCTGATAAGGCAGCTAATAAGGCAGCTAAGTGTACCCTGCTGTCCAATATCTTGTGTCCTGGGCATCTTGCATTTTCTTCCTGCTGGGAATGCAAGTGCCAGATGGTTTTCTGTTCTTCCTCCCTCAGCTCAGTCGCAGACTGAAATGTGTGGGACTGCAGCCTCTTCCCTTCCCTCTCCTAGTGCTGAGGGATGCAGTCCCTGTCCCCCCACCTGTGTTACACCTTGGCCATGTCTCTGCAGTGCTCCTTCCTGGGAGCCTGGGTACCATTAGGAAGCAGTGACATGGTTAACGAGGCTCCCTTTTTGCTTTTGCAAGTTCCCTGTGAGCTCCCTGGGGGAATCTGCTGTCTCCACAGGTGTACCTTCCATCTGTCAGCCAGTTTGTTGAAAGGATTTTGACAGGCAACTTTCCTCCGTAATCCTTAATAGCTTCAAATTTAAAATGTTTATGGCAAAGCTAATCCCACGAAACTCCCTGTAGTTTTAATAAATCTATCCTCCAGCAAGACTCTTCTGGTGAGAGGAGGTAAATCTGCTTCTTCCTACAGTGATACATATCTGCAGACGTGGCTGTGGGGCAGCTTTAAATCACCTGCTTGGTCCTCACTTAAAAACTGGTATCTCTGCTCAGGGAGCACCTTGCTAAAAGCCAGACCTCATGGGGTTATCCACCTCCACAACTTCTGTCAGGACTGAAAACTGTTGGAATCAGTGAGTCTCTCGTATGGCTGGGCACTCCATTTACAGCTGGAAGGCAAGAGAATAACTCAGGCTGGGATTCTTGGATGTTCCTAAGCCCAAATCCCTCACTCAAAGCAGGACATCTTAGGTGGGGAGAAGACCCCGAGTATCCTGATCAAGCTTTGAATATCTCCAAGGACAGACAATGCATAGGCTCTGGGGCAGGGGGACACCTTTTTTGTGCTCCAGTGTGTTCCAAAGATGACTTTAACGTCAGAGGATCTTTAATGTGTGTGCAGGTGTCACTCGGGGGGAAGAATGAAGGGAGTCATTCTGCAAAAATGCAGATCTCTAGAGACCTCTGCCCTCGCAGCACCAGGCTGGCTGGGGACAGTGTCTGAGTGACCTGCCATGGGTATTTCAGTTGTGGTCAGGCCTCAGTGCAGAAGTGTATCCCAGGGATCCCAGGGCTGTGTGGTTAAAACAGCTGTCGTTAGCCTGGCTGGGAGAGGGGGGGTGAGGGTTATTCTGGCACCAGGAGCTGCCGGATGGCCCAGGCATTGCTGCCCTGCTTACCTTGGGCGGGAACGCTGGGAGCTGCCTTGGCACCCTGCCCCATGCCCCTTGTCCTGTGCTGCTGGAGACTGCTGATAGTCACAGGAGATCCTGTCCTTGTTAACATGGCACCCATTTCCCCCATCCCTCTGCCACCTTCTACCCTTGAGCAGAAGCAGTTGTGCTGGTTTGCACTGTAAGACCCTCTTCCATACAGAAAGGGGCTGTTTGCTGTTCCCCTGCCAGGCTGTGGAGCAACACAGGTCCAAACAACAGCAGGAGTGGAGGCTCTTCTTGCTGCCTCTGCCTTGAGGAAAGAAGTAGATGAGGTCCAGATCAGAGACCAGAGACTCCTGTGGGGGAAATTGAAGCTTAGCTGTAGCCTGGTTTTGGGCGGAGACATCAGCCAGAGCATGGCTGAAGAGCTGCAGGGGGAGTGAACTGTGTTGGAATGAGCAGGTCAATACAGTGTGAGCAAGTGTGAGTCATTCCAGGCCACTCAAGTGAGGTCCTGGGCTGGGCCATCCTCCACCTTCCAGCAGGAGCCGTTGGCCTGCTGATCCCCACCATAAACATGGTTATCTGGGTCCAGAGCAAACCTTGTCCTTACAGATCCTTGTGAGAGTGACTCAGTATTTGCAGAAGCCTTTCACATCCAAACCATTACCTAATCCCTGAGTGCCGTGAGGAGGCTCACAGGTTCCTGCTCTGCTGGCCGGCTTCCCAAGTGGCCGTGCCCAGGGTGTGGATGTGGTGGGGCAGTGTGCTCCCAGGGCATGGGGATAACAGCCATGCCCAGGCTCAAAGTGCCACTTGGCAGCTGAAACCATCCCAGTGGAGCTATTGTTGTGTCCTGTCTGCTCCAGGGGTGCAGAGACCCACACACGGGGCTCAGAGTCAAGGGGGATGTGAGCCCTTCCTGCCCACGAGGCAGGGCCATGAGGCACTTGGCCAGAGGTGCTGCCCAGATGGCTCCACTCCAGTGTTGTGGGAGCTGGAATGGGATTATTGTGATACAAAGTGTGATGCTTCCAAGGTAACTGAGATCACTCTGTGCTGTCCTCTCCGTAATCCGTCTGTTGTCACAGCACGTGAGGCAGGTGACGCTGTGCATTAACACTGTAACCTCAGTGAGGAAAATCCCACCTGGGAAGGATGTACCCTTGCCATGTGAGCTCTTATGTCCTCATCTGTGCAGATGCCTGAGGCAGCTGTAATTGTACCATCTATACATTCTTTGGGTGTCTTGGAAACATGGCCTGTGCTCATGGGAGGTGGAAGAGGTGAACACCCCATAGCTCTGGTGGTGTCAGTCCATGTGCTAGCTCGTAACCCTGGACCATCTTCTCCCTCTTGCTTTGACTGTCCCCTCTCACCGCATCACAGAGCCCAACTCTCCTCCCACAGATGAAAGGCATCTCTTTCCTAGAAGATTTTTCTCATTCTGGAAAATGCCTGATGGACAATACCTCAAAATGAACCCACTCCCCTTTTTCATGGGGGACTGAACCACGGCGTGATTTCCCATCTGGCTCCCACTGCAATGGGAGCAGATGCTGGATGACAGAGCAGGACTTTGCAAGCCAACTGCCTCCTGCCTCTCACTAGAGACTCACAGGAGCACCCAAGCAAGTGATGGGAGTGTCAAGTGACTGGGGCTTAACCCAAGTGTGTCTCTTGTCTCTCCCTCTCTCCATGCAGGTGACGGAGCTGAACGAGCCCCTGTCCAACGAAGAGAGGAACCTGCTGTCCGTGGCCTACAAGAACGTGGTGGGGGCACGGCGCTCCTCCTGGAGAGTAATCAGCAGCATCGAGCAGAAGACCTCTGCCGATGGGAACGAGAAGAAGATCGAGATGGTCCGTGCCTACCGCGAGAAGATCGAGAAGGAGTTGGAAGCAGTGTGCCAGGATGTGCTGAGCCTGCTGGACAACTACCTGATCAAGAACTGCAGCGAGACGCAGTACGAGAGCAAAGTCTTCTACCTGAAGATGAAAGGGGACTATTACCGCTACCTGGCCGAGGTGGCCACCGGGGAGAAGAGGGCGACCGTGGTGGAGTCCTCGGAGAAGGCCTATAGCGAAGCCCATGAGATCAGCAAGGAGCACATGCAGCCCACCCACCCCATCCGGCTCGGGCTGGCGCTTAACTACTCCGTTTTCTACTACGAGATCCAGAACGCGCCGGAGCAGGCCTGTCACCTGGCCAAGACGGCCTTCGACGACGCCATTGCCGAGCTGGACACCCTCAACGAGGACTCCTACAAGGACTCAACGCTCATCATGCAGCTCCTCCGCGACAACCTAACGCTCTGGACGAGCGATCAGCAAGACGACGACGGCGGAGAAGGCAACAACTAGACCCCCCCGATGGACTGGCAGCCGCACGCTGATGCTAACTACTGCAGTCTTTATTTTTTTCCCACGAGTGGGGGGGGGTCAGGGGTGGGGGAGGGAAAGGGAGGGGACACCTTCCCAGGGAGGCCCCCCACAACCTGTCTTTGATTGCCTCGTTGACATTTTTGCCAAAACACCACTAGTGGAAGTCAGGCTGGCTGTGCTGGTATGGAATAGCAGCCTCACTGGCATATGGACTGTTCTGTAGATTATTAATACAAGTGGAGCTGTCTTTAATTTAACTTTATTGCTAGAAATAAAAGGGTTTTAAGACGAATTTGCGTGGATGGAATGGCCCTCGTTTTTAAGGAAAGCAACGCAAAAACATTAAAAAAAAAAAAAGACAAAAACTAAACAAACAAAACAAACAAAAAAAAAAAAAAAAAAAAAGGGAGTTCTGTGGTTCCAGTAAGGCTTCGTGCGTTTGTTTCCGCAGTCCAGGTGCCGTGTGTGTCCGCACCACGTCACGGGGCGTCTCTCTGCAGCGCTCTGCCCGCCAGGGCGCAGCCTCAAATCCCCAAATTGAGAAGGAATTAAAAATAAAACCAACAAAACCAAACAATTTGGGGCTCACAAAGCCCCGGGATTTAGGCCATCCAATCTTTTTTTCTTTTTTTTTTTTTTTTCCTTTTTTTTTTTTTTCCTCTTGTTAAGATATTTATTAGGGTAGCTTACAGTATTAACACTAAATTGCAGTTTACAGTGTTTCTACATTACAGCCATATGACATCAAGCCTTTGATTGTCTGTTTTTCTTTCTTTTGCTAGTTCTTTTGGCTTGCCTTCCTGAGCAGTCCTGGCCTGTGGACTGGCTTTAGCTATTCTGTGTCGCCCAAGGCAAGAAGATCGCCCGCCCGAGGAACATCAAAGCTGCTCTAGTTTTTTGGTCAACAGCTTAACAGGTGCTTGGCTAGCGGCTGTTTCAACTATTTTAAGTCCACAGCAAAAGGTTTAAGAACTTAATTAGACAAGGGGGAAGTGTTTAAACTTAAAGAAAAAAAAAAAGCCACTTAAATAATAAAAAAAAATAATAAAAAAAAAATTTAAAAAAAATGAGCATTCAGGTCTGTATGTCATGTACTGTGTTTGGTATTTCAAAAGACCATCCTGGTTTAAGGTGCCACAGCTGCTTCCTCAGGGATTGCACTGCCATTTCACTCTGCCTGACTTTCTCCCACTGTACCATGAGGTTTGTCAGCAGATCTCCAGCACCCAGGCTCCCTTGTTTGTCACCAGGGAAGCCAGGTGCGTTTTCCTTTCTCCTGGGGAAGCTTGTGGTGTAATGAGTGAACTTCAGGAGCTTAGAAACTAATTTGGTAGAGAAATTCCTCAAGAGGAAGAGCTACAATCATAGACATTTCTATCCACCATCGGGAGCCCAGGAACTTAGTTCTCTTCTTAGCAAAATCTTTTCCAAGTCTGTCTGATCTGGCTGGGGGTGGGGGACGGGGCATCTGAGTTGCTTAGCAGGTAATATTTACCCCATTTTGAGTAAGTTTAGCTTTGATTTTGATTTTCCCATGGTTGTTGGAGGTTCACTGCTGTTCTCTGGCTCGCAGAGCGCTGCGCCCTGCGGCGCTTCACCCAACGCTGTGCAGTGAGAGGAAACCGCACTCGTGCTTTTGTTCTTTATTAAATATTGGTCTGCTTTTGGAAACAGGCTTTCATTGTCCCTTTGAGAGTCAGCCCGACACGGCGTCGTGGTGTGGCACACACGGCACAGCCGCTCCTGCTGCCGGGGTGTGCGGGGGGACATGGCTCCGGCTCCCTCCCCGCTGTCCCGGAGCCGCTGCCCGGCTCCCCCAGGAGCGAGCGGGGCCAGGCCGTGCTCAGCCCCCGGACACTGCCCCGGTGGTGCTGGAATAGCTTTTTCTGGCCGGGATTCATCCACCCAAAGTCAGGCCCAGGCGCTTTGCAGGGATTTGGGGTGCAGCATCCCGCGGCGAGGGGCCCGCGGCGCCAGTGCGTGCCGGGACCGGGAGATGCTTCAGGCTTCTTACCTCCCTCTCATCAACCCCCGTGTCCCGTGAGCAGTGTTGTCCCAGCTGTACAATTTGGAAGTGATTTACTGGAATTACAAAACCTATCTTTTTTTTTTTTTTTTTTTAAATTACTACTCTTTTTGGCTTTTGCTCTGGCTGCTTTAGGAAACTTATGCAGGAGAGATGGCACAAGAGGGCTAAAAACGGAGTGGGGGTCAGGGACTTGATTTTTAAGCAGCTTGAATGGTTTCTTTCATTTTTTAAGAGATGCACTTGCCTATGATACTGTCTCTCCAGTGAAATGATTACTGCTCCATTACTCTATTGATACAATATTGTGCATGCTAGTGTCGTATTTCTATACAGTAGCTTGAAATTTATTAACTTATACTGTAGATGTTATGTATTCCTATGACAAAATAGTCTTCAAAAATTTTCTAAAGTTTTTTAATTTATTTTTCTTTCCTTTTTTTTTTTCGGGGGTAAAGTTTGCTCTACCAAATAGTGATCGTAACAAACTGATCTGTTATGGATGTTGCTATAGTGACATGCAATTATATATGATTTTGTTTTTAAAAAGGAAAAAAAAAAAAAGCAAAAGAAAACACCAGTGTTAGCTTAATCTTAATGTCTGGTGTTCGTCATGGTGAAATTATAACTATTACAGTGTAGGAGAACAATGACTGTGTTCTTTGAATGAGCCTTTGTTTGTGCTTTTTGTCATGTTATGCAGTGAACTATTTTTAAGGTCTAATCAGTGATTATTTTTCCAACTCCGTGTTTCTGTAAGGAATTATTTCACACACGGACCATTCTTAGCAGTTTTTCCTCAGTGATGGAATATCATGAATGTGAGTCATTATGTAGCCGTCGTACATTGAGCAAATAAACTTACAGATCTGACGTCAGCGCTGCTTAATTGTTATCGCCTGTGTCGAGTTTCTGGGGGGCTCCGTGGGGTGGGGAGGGCTCGGGAACAGCCGGGTGTCTGATCCCGGGGGCCACCGCCCTTCCGCCGGCGCAGAGCATCCCGGCGGATTAAGGGATCGCCAGGCTCCTTCCCGGGGCAGAGGCGAGGGAAGGTGGGAAAACCGCGGGGAGGGTTCCTGGATGCTCCCGTGGCCGCAGGGCTGGGTGTGTGGGAGCCTCCCCACCTCCCTCCCTCTCCTTCCCCGATGGTTTTCCGCCCGGAGCCACACGCGCGGTGACTCACGCTGTAAAAATACTCCCCTCCCCGGGAAACTATAAACGGAAAATGCGCCCTGACTCACGCGCCCGGCGAGGGATCCGGGGGTGCAGGGTGGACACCCCCGGGAAGGGGCTGGGAATAACCTTTGGGTGATGGCAAAGAGGGGCTGGGGGCTCGCCGAGCACCCCCACACAGAGAGGGACACCCCGAGCCCCACCCCGGCGCCGTGGTGCTCCGACAGCCCCCTCACCACGGCTTTTTGGGAGGTGAGAGCCACTGTGGCACGGCCACGGGAGACAGGGGAGGGGGCTGGGGATGCTCCTGGAGGGGCATCTTCCCCTGGAGACGCGCTCGGGCTGGAAAAGCCTCGCACCCCCAGACACACGCACATAGGGCCCCCCCAAGCACACAGGTGACCCCTGGCAGCAGGAACTGACCCCGAGATTGTGTGTGAGAGCTGCCAAACTGCTCACCCCTGAGACTGCTGGGGCAGAGGGGGTAGGGGGGAAGGGGTTCGGGGGGCACGTGGAGCCCCCCAAGCCTGGAGAGGGGCCTCGCGGCCACGGGATTCCTCCCAGGTCACTGTCTGCCTCCGGGATGACTCAGGGGGGATTAGTGGGATTTGTCGGAGTGGGAACATCGAAGCCCTGGGCCTGACCTCAGCCATGTAGGGCCAGTCCTGCCCAGAGGCACGGGGGGCACGGGGGGCACGGGGCCAACTGGGGCTGAACCTGAGACCACAACCCCCCTCTGCCCCAATCCAGCCCCCCAGTATGGCTGCAGCTCCTGAGCTGGACCCCCCAGCTGGCCCCTCACAACAATGGGATGGAAGGAAAGGGGAGCACTGGATGGCAGGGCTGGGGCTCAAGGGGCTGCATTGCTGGAGTTGCAGGGTCCCCAAGCAGAGCTTCTGCCCACAAAGCCCTTCTTTGCCCTCTGACCCCCCTGTGACCCAGAGGGGGGTGTGTGGGTGCTTGTTTTTCAGGGGTGTCACCCAGGAGGGTGACACTGGGGTGTGGAGACCCAAAATATTCTGATATTGGCTGAGAGCCAGCATTGTGGAGACCAGGGAGGGTGAGACCCAGGGCGTTTGAGCACCCTGAGGGTGCACCCAAGAGGGTGAGACTCTCTTGGCATTTGAGAGACCTGGGATGTAGGAGACCCAGGTTGTGGAAACCTGGGATGCTGAGCCTGGGATGTTGGAGACCAGAAATTTTTGAGACCCGGGATATAAAGACCTGGGATACTGGAGGCTGGGATGTGAAGAGCTGAGATGTAGGAGACCTGGATGTGGGATATCCAGGATAGGGAGAAGTCAGGATGTTGACCCCAGGTGCTGAGCAGGGCTTGGTGACCCCCCTCCACTGGCCCCAGGCAGCCCCATCCTGGTGCTCTGGTCCCAGTGCCTGCAGCGCAGCTCCCCCCTGCTGGGGGACACACACAGGGACAGGTTTCTTTCACCAGTTTTTATTCCAGCTGATAATGTCTGTTCCTTCACATTTATTCAAGGCACTCGGTGACAGGGCGAGTACAAAATCAACAGTAAAAAGGGGGCGGGTGCGAGGGGGCAGCTGGGGATGGGGGCGGTGGCGGCTTCTCCTCCTCCTCTTCCTCCTCCTCCTCCTGGGTGCCGCCTACTTCTTGGCTGGTTCCTTGGCTTGGCTCTCGACGGTGACGGGGATGGTGATTTCTGCGGACTGGATGGCGGGTTTGGGCAGGGGGGCCTCCACCGTGAGCATTCCATCGGGGGACAGCGAGGATCGCACGGCCGTGGCTTCGACACCGGGGGGGAGGCTGTGGGGGGAGAGAGGGGGTCAGGGCTGCAGCACCCACTGCCCCACCTGCACCCCCCAGGAATGTGACAGCCCCAAACTGCTGCCTCCCCTGCTCCCAGTTTGGCCAATGGGCACTGAGGGGGTGGGTGGGCAAGGGTCCCCAAAGACATCGAGGTGCTGCCAGGATCCCAGCTCCCCTCCTCCCTGGTACTTACGTGTATTTTCGGGTGAAGCACCTGGAGATGAAGCCGTGTTCATCCTGCTTCTCCTCGTGTTTGCCTGCAAGGAAACAAAACCCCGGGATGGTTGGAAAGGAAACACCCAGCTGGGGGAGCAGCCTTCCCACCCCATCCCGACATTGCCCGACACCAAGGAGGGGCTGATTCTGCCCATCCTGGTGTTTCTTGCCATGAT